GGTCTCCTTCACTGTGTTGCAAACTTCTGACTGAAATTATTATACCCTGCAAGGGTATAAAAATGGTAGCAAATGCGATGCCAACAACTATAAAGGAATATCTAAAATTTTTTGCCATCCCAAAACTTTTCAAAAATGTTATTTATCTACACTTTAGATCAGATATTTCTTCATAGAACATGTATTTATTAAGGGGGGATATACATGTAAACCAAAATTATGTTGTCAAATTTTTTTTTGTTTAAAAAATAGTTTATTACTTAAAGAATATACTGTGTAAGTTTTATTATCGAATTTTATCTTTAAGTGCCTTAAATCAAGTATGAACGCAAGGTATACAAGTGTTAACGTTTGCGCATCAAAAACGTATTTTTCTCAGCTTTAAATTTTTGCATTTTTACCTATGCTATGGACACGATTCATAAAAAACTATGTAACATATCGGAATGAATCAAAAATTATTATGATCAGCATGAATGATCTTCTATTTGAACCTCCATGGGGGTAATAAAAATTAGTATTACTATTTTTTAAGAGGGTGGGAAGTAAAATCTGATTTCCTGAAAATGGCATTTTTCCTTCAAAACAAAATTAAATTTTTTTGTCACTTTTTTTTTTTTTTTGAATATCTTTGCGGTTCGCTGGGCACAATCCACGATCGTCTTCGAAAAAGCAGCAGGAGCAGAAAGAGACACTGCGTGCCCTTCACTGTTATAGATATGACTTGGACTTAAGTGTCGTTTATATTTAATTATATATTATATATGCAATTATATATATGCAAACAAGTTTAATATCTCTATAGATAGTTATTATATCTATATTTACGTGTTCATGTTAAAACAACGCAAGCTATCAGCGGAGTACCCGAGCGGACGTCTATTCACCGGGATTTTGCACCTCTCCCACAAAGATATGTGACAAAGTGTATGTGTGTGATTCCCTTACTTTGATTGCTGGTGGAGATAACCACCGGCACAAAAAAAAGAGAGGTCAAATGATACATTCTTGCGGTTTTCTGGTCGGAATTAAATGTTTGTTTTAGATGACTGGAACCACTTTTTCTATAGTAAAACATTCGTAAAACAGTAGTTTTACGATTGCTTTTTTTCCTTTAGTTGAACGGGAAAATAGCTAAAAAAAATAGACTTTCCGAGCATATAACTTTAAAACTATGGGGCCCGATCACCCAAGAAGGGGGGGGGGGCAAAGTGCAGTCCTCCAAATAAACAAAGAGGCAGAGGACATCCTTTATACCAGATACGGGAAGATGGCGCGGGGCATGGGTAGCGTATACCTGCGCCTCAAAAAGCGCCACCCCGGGGATAAGGATGCTCACACCCTGAAGGCAGATGTGGTGGAGAAGGACCAAGGTCTGGAAACCATCGTGGATGCCGACCGGGAAATGACGCTGGATGAGTCCGACGAAGGAGAGGACGGTGACCTTAACGTAGTAGTCAACCCGTCGTATGGACGTGAGCCCAGTACCCATAACACTCAGGGTGCTGCAGCTCAACCTCCATAAGAGCAAGGTCACGTCGGCGGAACTCCTCATAGCCATGGAGCAGGGATCCGCCGACATTACTTTGGTCCAGGAGCCATGGATCGCCTCAGGCAATGCCATCGCCGGACTGTAGTCCGCAAATTACAATTTGCTCCATCAACCAACGGTAAGCAGGAATAGAACCGCCGTCCTTGTACGGAAGGGTCTACACGCTAACCTTATGTCTCATTACAGCTCTAATGACCTGACCGTGATGATGCTAGAGAGCGGGAAAAAGCGCCTTTTTGGTAGCTTCCTGCTACATGGCACACGACAGGACGGCCCCACCAGAAGAACTTATGAGCTTGGTAGAAGCCAGCCCGAAGGACCAGCAACTGCTCGTGAGAATGGAGAGTCCTTGAGAGACCATCCTTCGCAGATCATAAGTACATACGGTTCCAATACGCATTCGAACACTCTCCAAAACAATCAGTCTTCAGGAACCCCCGGAATACTAACTGGGGAAAGTTCAAGGAGACTATCGCGACACGTCTCGAGATCTCTCCGAGCATAGTAGAATCCGCGGAAGACATAGAAAAGACCCTAGAAACCCTCTCCAAGGACTGCTGGATGCGTACCACGCATCATGCCCTATATCGGACACGAAAAAGAGGACCAGGCCACCCTGGTGGAATAAGGACCTTTCACTCGGACACAACAAACTCAAAGAATTCTTCAAAATCGCCAAGCAGGCGAAAGATGAAGGAAAGAAGGACATACGCAAGGCGCAGAGAAACTCATGGAGAAACTTCTGCTCCAATATAGAGACTGCCCCGGAAACGGCTAGACTCCGGAAGCTGCTATTGAAGCAGTCAACCATACAGAGTCAGCTCAAACGCGACGAACAGTGGACTGAGGGCAGCGAAGAGGCCCTAACAGCACTAATGCATGGGCATTTCCCAGGATGCACTGAGGTACCCGATGCAAATAAGCACCAGGACCTAGCAACTGGAGAAGAGCATCTCCCAAAAGATCTAATATCCTCTAGTAGAATCAACTGGGCTATAGACTCCTTTGCGAGGATAAAAGCATGACTAGATGGAATATTTCCAGCCATTGTGCAGGCGACCAAGGAAGTGATTATCCCATGGCTCTACGGAATATATGCAGCTTGTTTAAGCACGGGCTATATCCCTTTCCAATGGAGGACCTGTCGGATTGTCTTCCGAGCCCCAAAGATTACAGACCGATAAGCCTCGCCTCATTCCTACTTAAAACGCTGGAAAAGCTGCTACACGAAGGAGAAGTCAGTGGAGACGGTAGTACATTCGTTGGTAGCCACCATTGAGAGAGCCCTAAACAATGAGGAATATGCACTTGGAGTGTTCGTGGACATATCCGGGGCATTCAACAACGTTAGCACGGACGCAATAATGGATCGCCTAGAAGCGACCAACTCGTCCCCCGCTCTCAACTTGTGGATAAGGAATTTTCTAAGTTGCCGGCGGGTACAATCAGATTGGGGCACCGCTTCCACGGTGAGAGGAGCGCACAGAGGCACGCCGCAAGGTGGGGTTCTGTCGCCCCTCCTATGGAATCTGGTGGTAGACGACCTAACCAAGAGATTCAAAAGGAAAGCACCAAAGATAACAGCTTATGCGGATGACATAAGCATAATTATCACGGGAGCCTGTCCATCGACCCTCAGCTCGATCATGGAAACAACACTCAGGGAGATATGTGAGTGGGCGGAGAAGGTAGGACTCAATACCAATGTGGATAAGACGGACCTTATTCTCTTCACCAAGAGATACAAGGTGCCGCAATGGATCCCTCCGAAAATTAACAAAACCAGGCTTACCCCGAAAACACAAGTCAATTACCTCGGCATTGTACTTGACAGCAAGCTGACGTGGAAAACCAATGTAGTAGAGAGGGTAAAAAAGGCAACCACAGCGCTATATGCATCCAAGAAGATGCTTAGCAGCACATGGGGCCTCTCACCCGCTCTAATGCATTGGGTCTACATATCGGTGGTGCGTCCGACTCTGCTGTATGGAGTCTTGGTGTGGTGGCAAGCCATGGAGAAGAAAACGTATAATAATAAGCTTAAGGAGAGAACCCAGTGGCAGGCACTGCTCTGCATATCAGGGGCGCTGAGGTCAACCAACACCAAAGCACTCGAAACCATAATCGGTGTATATCCCCTAGATATCCAAGCGCAACTGTCAGCTGGAAAGGCGGCACAACGTCTGGTTGCATCAGGAAACTGGTCACTACAAGGTTTCGGACACAGTTCAATTGGTCGTTAAATGAGCAGTACATCTGACTACATGATACCCAGAACGTGCCCGAATGTAAACACAACAGTATTCATGGGACCAAATGGAAGTCAGGCCAGGACCATGCTCAATACCTCAATATATACACCGACGGCTCCAAGATGGAAAGAGGAGTTGGAGCGGGCATATACTGTTCAGACCCTGAAATGAGCTACCAAGCTACTGCAGTATGTTCCAGGCGGAAGTATTCGCCATCAGGAAAGCAGCAGAGCTTGCGCAGAGCATAAACCGTCCACATGAGGCGGTCGTAGACAGTCACGCGGCGATAAGATCCATGCAATCATCGGCGGTCAGTTCCAAAAATGTACTGGCAAGCAGGGAGTCACTAGATAGCCTAAGCACGACTAAGTCAGTGAGGATCTACTGGGTTCCCATCCACAAAGGCATAGACGGTAACGAAACCGCGGACGAACTTGCAAAGGAAGGCGTTGGACTGGCGAGTGAAAGAACAGAAAACGTCCCTATCTCCCTAAGAACGCTCCAAAGCGAACTAGAGAGACGGGCTGACGCAAGCGCAAAAACCAGGTGGAGGAGTAATTCCGCAACCTGCAGAATATCAAAAATCATGTGCAAAGAGCGCAACGAGAAACTCACCCACTACGTGCTGCATCTTCCGCGGAAGGACTGCAGAATGTTAGTGGGTATTCTTACAGGTCACTGCCTGTCTGCTGCACATGCAGTCAAGCTGGGTATTACCGACAACGCCAAATGCCGGAAATGTGATGAATCCGAGGCAATCGAAACCTTGGAGCATCTCATTTGCAAATTTCCGGCCGTAACGAGGGCAAGAATGAGATACCTAGGCTCTCCAGTTCTGGCATCGCTAGAAGATGCCTCCAGGAGGAAGCCAGGCGAACTCCTTACCTTTGCGAAAAACACCTTGATATTCAAGGATCTCGAAACCAGCTTATAGTCTCTAGATCCATCCAGGAGTTTCCCCGGACAGCTATGGGCCATATTGGCCTATGTGTGGCCCCTCGAGGGCCGTCCGGACTAACCTAACCTAAGCTAAGTAACAATAACGTGTCGCTGAAAAGGTTATTTAATATGGTTATTTATTTCGGTTTCAATGCAAATTTTCAAAATATCTAGCATTAAAACTAAAGATATAGAGCACGTGTTAAGTTTAGAAAATGATTTATACATATATATTACTTTACAATATGCAAACTTACCGAAAAAAGCCTTGTATTGATTCTCTTTTGTACTACTATAAAAGAAATTTTTATTCGATCTCTGCAAACACTTTCAAATTGAGGAATTTCGTATTTAGAACAGATATTTAACTGACCATCTCCGATTCCATCCCTAAAATTAAATACAAAGTATATAAAATAAGTTGAGTTTGGGTTAAAACATTCATAATAATATGTATAGAGTGAATTATTGCTTTAATAGATTTCGTTTATATTAGTTAAGTCTATATTCTTGATCAGCATCAACAGTCGATCTAGCCATGTCCGTCTATCCGTCCGTCTGTCCGTTTCTTTGCAAACTAGTCAGTTTTGAAGCTATCTGAATGAAACTTTGCATATAGTCTTCTATATACTCTCACTGCTATATATGTCGGAACGGGCCGGATCGGACGACTATATCATATAGCTGCCATACAAATGTTCGATACATTTTTAGAAAAAAACTATTACTTTTTTTAAAAATATTTTTACATCATTTTTTGAGATATAGCCATTTTATATTATTCCCGAATTTTGGTAAAAATTTTATGAAAATCGGACGACTATATCTTATAGCTGCCATAGGAACGATCAGGAAATAATACAACAAAATTATAACTTCTTTGTTTTTTAACGTATTTTCATCTACTCTGAGATATGAGCTTTTGTTATAATTTCAGAATTTTGGTATACATTTTATTAAAATCGGACAACTATATCATATAGCTGCCATAGAAGCGATCGGTAAATGTAGAGAAAATGTAAAGCTGGGTATGTAAAACTGTAACTGTCAAACTGTAAGTATAGGTAAAATGTAATGAAACTCTGTTTTGTGTGTGTTTTCAACAATTAAATTTATAATATATTTATCAAAACCAATCTGCAAGGGCATAAAAACTTCGGTGTGGCTAAGTTAGCTTCCTTTCTTGTTTTTTATTCAATTTCGATAAAAGTAGTCTATTCCATAAACAAGAAAATTTTAGAATTTTTCGGCACGTTGAAGTTTGTATACCCTTGCAGATTGTTTATTTATAACATATAATAATTTGGTTTTGATAAAATTAAAAAAGTTTAATCGTATAAAATAAGTGTAATTTAGATTTTAAATAAATAAATATTTAAATGACAGGTTAGCCGGTAACAGGACAAGGACAGAAGACTGTCTGTTACTGAGTGAGGTCTGTTCGTCTGTCGCAACAATACGAAAGAGTGAGAGAGACGGCTAGATATTGTCTAGGATTGTCGTCTGACTGAAAAGTGAGAAAAGGTGAAAAGGGCCAAAGGATGGCGTGATGTGACATTCCATTAGAGACTGCGCAGGCGAACACATGATACAATCATAGTGATTGTATCATGGGCGAACAGAACTTGCTAGCTTAACTACGGTTAAACGAAATAACGGTTTCTCCAACAAATATAAATGCCGAAAAAAAACAAAGTAATATCAAGTGTTTTAGAGAAGGGCGGCATTAATCTGAAATTCACTCGATAAGAAAAACCACGTAGACTTTCGGGTTTTTACGCGACGTGCGTCGTGATGTTTATGTAATAAATAGTAAATTGGTACTAACTATACAAAGAAGACTTAAGCGGATTGGAAGCTCTATGGACTGGAAGTCCGGAGAGAGACCAAGGGAAAAGGAGAGCGTACGGGATCATTGGAGGCTTGTAGCGGGATCACACGAAATTAAGCGCCTTTCTGGCGTGTCTTTATATATACTTATGTATACTTATATTTTCAGTTTGACAGTTACAATCGCAGCTACACTACTGGCCGAAATAATAAGTACATGCGTATGTGGTTTGTTTCAAGTCCTATAAAATTTGTTTGATAAACTTAAGAAAAAAACCCACTTTATTTTTAGTTTCCGTACTTATTCCAGATAATAAAAATAACTGCCTAAAGGATTTTACATTTCAAATTTAGAGACAGGGGTCAATTTTATCCAAAAAGCATCTGTGTCTGTGCAGTCTGTGTCAAGTCAGTACTAGAAGCTGAGACCAGGTTTCTTCAGCAAATCTTCACAAATCTTCAAAATTTTTAAATGTATTGGTTACAATTCGACATTTTAAGTTTCCCCACAATGCTTAGTTTAGGTTTATGACAGGAGACTGACTTGACCATCTCATAACAGTTACCTCTCTCTTGCCAAAAAGGACCTGTTTTGTCATCCAAGGCCATTTCCGGCGAAATTGACATTTAAATTTGAGCTCGAACAGTTTGTCGTAGACTGCATGAGACAGGATTACAAGGACGTATACCCCAAAAGGTTCTATTACTTCAAGGAAAATTTGTTCAGATGAAGCAAAAGCTTTGCAACATTTTTTTTGGTATGGTCTGAACCGGAGGTGGAAACAAAATACTTTGGGGCAATGAAACAAACATATTTTTTTTTGAAAACGATTCTAGACGGTTTGTACGTCAAACCAAAGTAAAAAAATTCAGCTTTGAAACGCGAAAAAAAAAGTTAAGCCCGGAGACAGATGCATAAAGGTCAGGGGCTGTTTTTCCTGGCATGGCGTTGTGCAAATACATCTCATAAATGGTATTACGACCGAATTCGAAAATAAAACTTTTTAAACTGGCATCTTCTAACCATATGCTTAGGGAAACATGCCCTTCCGATAGATTTTTCAACGAGATAACGATCCAAAGTAAACCTTAAAAGTCATCATGGCCTGGTTTAGGGACAAAAAAGTAACCGTCATGGGTTGAAAAAGTCAGTTTCCGAACTCATACCTAATCAAAAATTTATGGGGAAACCTAAAACGTCGTATTGTAACCAATACATTTAAAATTTTTGAAGATTTGTGAAGATTTGCTGAAGAAACCTGGTCTCAGCTTCTAGTACTGACTTGCCACAGACTTCCTGCTAGAATGCCAAAAATAATAGCGAAAGTTACCTAAAGCGAGTGTGGTTTTATTGGATACTAATCTAAGTTTACTTATAAGAAAAAAGAAGTGCAAAATATCTAATACGTTCCGAGTTCTAGGCTTAGAAGAATGGGTGTACTTATTATTTTGGCCAACCCATTTTCATGCTTTTTGGATAAAATTTACCCCTGTCTCTAAATTTTAAATGTAAAATCCTTTAGGCAGTTATTTTTATTATCTGGAATAAGTACGGAAACTAAAAATAAAGTGGGTTTTTTTCTTAAGTTTATCAAACAAATTTTAAAGGACTTGAAACAAACCACATACGCATGTACTTATTATTTCGGCCAGTAGTGTATATGATATACATACACATATGGACAAAATAATAGGTGTGAGTTTTTTTGTTTTTAAAGGTTTAATTTCTAATTCATTTCTTTATAAATCTTAACAAATCAAGTTTTTTTCATAACTCATAATATTTGTCTACATTAAAAAACAGAAAAACAGCTTCACAAACTCTCTAATAAATAAAAAAAAACACTCAAGAACATCCACATTTTTCTCCCGGAACCAATCCTTTACAACTCGCGATGAGTGCTTCGGGTCATTATCCTGTTGGAACTTCCATAAACGTGGCATATTATCCTCGGCATATGGTAGCATTACATCAAATCCAGGTAGGATTGCCCGAAGGGCAAATTTACAGATGAGGCAAAAATTTGCATTAGATCATAAGACCTGATGCGGCCCGGAGGGTGAGAAAAAATGGCGTAATATCCTTTGGAGTGACGAAACCAAAATTAATTTGTTTGGTAATGACGCTAAAAGGAATGTTCGTCGTGCTAAAGGCAAAAAATTTGACGCCAGGTACACATGTAAAACCGTGAAACATGGAGGTGGTAGCTTAATGGTATGCTGCTGTTTTTAATGGGATGGTGTTGGTCCGATTCATCGAATCGACGGAATCATGGATAGATTCGTTTATAAAAACTTATTGGAGACGGTAATGCTACCATATGCCGAGGATAATATGCCACTTTTATGGAAGTTCCAACAGGATAATGACCCGAAACACTCATCGCGAGTTGTAAAGGATTGGTTCCGGGAGCAAAAGGTGGATGTTCTTAAGTGGCCAAGTCAATCCCCGGATCTCAGTCCCATGGAGAATCTCTGGGGTGAACATAAAAGAGAAGTTGGAAGGACTTTTTGTCAAAATATCGCTCAACTTAAGGATATTGTCCAAAAAACTTGGTACAACATCCTAGTTGAAACTTGTCGCAAGTTAATATTGTCCATGCCAAGACGAATGTAGAAAGTTCTAAAAAATAATGGCGGATATACCAATTATTGACTGCCAATTAGTGATTTAAAACTGAAACAGGACCAAATTGATTGAAAAATCGATATAATTTGAAAATTAATCGTCCTACACCTATTATTTTGTCCAGCCAAAATTTGTGAATTTAACTATAAAATGGTTTTTCTTTTTTATTAGAGAGTTTGTAAAGCTGTTTTTAGTTTTTAAATGTAGACAAATATTATGAGTTATGAAAAAACTTGATTTGTTAAGATTTATAAAGAAATAAATTAGAAATTAAACGTTAAAAAAGAAAACAAACTCACACCTATTATTTTGTCCATATGTGTAGCTGCCATACAAATGTTCGATAAATTTTTAGAAAAAAAATTATAACTTGGCTGTTTTTTAACATTTTTGCACAGTTTTTTAGATTTGGCCATTATATATTATTTCTGAATTTTGGTAAAAATTTTATGAAAATCGGACTACTATATCTTATAGCTGCCATAGGAACGATAGGGAAAGTAAAAAAAAAATTATAATTTCGTTGTTTTTCAACGTATTTTCATCTAATTTGAAACATGAGCTTCTGGTATTATTTCAAAATTTTGGTATAAATTTAATGAAAATCGGACTACTATATCTTATAGCTGCCATAGGAACGATAGGGAAAACGATAGAAAAAATTATAACTTCGTTGTTTTTCAACGTATTTTCATCTACTTTGAGACATAAGCATTTAGTATTATTTCAGAATTTTGGTAACGATATTATGAAAATCGGAGAACTATATCATATAGCTGCCATAGAAGTGATCCGTAGATGTAGAGAAAATGTAAAGCTGGGAATGTAAACTGTAACTGTCAAACTGTAAACATAATAAGTATAGGTAAAATGTTATGAAACTCCGTTTCGTGTTTTCGGCATTATAATTTATAATATAAATATGAAAACC